CATGTGCCTGTACAGATTTGTTCCTGTGCTTTGTCAGGGAGTTGTTTTAGCAGATGGTGTAGTTTCTTTAGGTAATCCTCAATGGGATCAGAGAATAATGGCCTGTAGAATGTTAGTTTCTAAGGTGCCACAGGTACTCCTGTTCTTTTTGCGGATACAGACTAACACGGCTGCTACTCTGAAACCTATTGGGACAGTAAATGTGTTTCAATTTAAAATTAATAAGGAGGAAATTCCCTAAAAAAATCTGATATGGTAAGAACTGATTGGGACATCTTAAGACAAAGAAGTTTTTTACCATACACATAAGTTACGTTAGCATGTGTTTTGTTTTTCCCTGGGGAACATGCTTTTAAATGGGGTCTCACATGTGATCCTGACTGTTGCAATGGTAGTTAGCTGTGTGGTCAAAACTAGGTATTTTGCATTTTGGAAGCAGCTTGTCTTCATCTGTACAACCATGAAAAGATGGCCTTTTAAGTAACTTAAGTTTCCTAATCCTTTAAGAAAAATAATTTCCCTTCCAAAAATGTCTTTGTATATTGTTGGGGGCAGCCTATCATGCTGTGAGAACTCAGTAGCGAGATAGGTGACTCGTTACTTTTCAGATGGTTTTTCTCTTCTGTTGCCTCCTTAACTTGACTGGGTGGTGGAATGGATAAACTTCAGTTAAGACATAATAAAGGTCTATGAGAGGTGACTGGCATCAAATTTACTCTTCCAGCAAGAAGCTATTTCAGAATAGAAATATGATGCAGTGACTAGTTTGCTCTTCTATTTTTCATTTTTAGAGGACGTGCAGTTATTTCAGCAAAATAAATCTATTTTTGTGTTCTGTGTAAGGTATTGATTAACCTTGGTATCATAGCAATGTAGTAAGTTAGTGTGAAGGAATTCCTGAATTGCTGTTTACTTAAGCCCCTTCAAAATGAAGAAAATACAAATTACCACAAGTGACTGATACATTGTGAGATATCACCATTTGTCATTCAGTGACTTGAGTATGGAAGACTGAGTCAGGAGGTCTGGGTTTGATTCATGAGTCTGCCATTTACTACTTCATCACACTATGCCTCAGTTTTCCAGTCTATAAAATGTCAATGACACTTGCCAGTCTACATAAAGCACTTTAAAATATGTAGGTAAATACCACCATGTAGGTATTAAGTGTTATATAATAATCCAGTAGGTGTGACTTTTCTAAATTTAAAATTTCAAGAGAATTTTTTTATTTATGTATTTCTCATATAAGGTATTTACACACGCACACACTCTTAAAATTTCACCAAACGTTTATTTTATTTATTGGTGAAATTTTAAGATCCCTTAGAAAACAACTTGTTAAAGGGTATATTGTTCTAGTTATATATGTGTTAGTGAAATGCAGTGAAACATGCGTTGAGATAATAGTGAAGTGCAACACCTCACTGAATCCTCCATATTCTGTTATGAAAAAGAGTGTATCTTCACCCAGAAGCGCATATGCTATTCAAAAGGTTTCACTAAAATGAATTAAATAAAATAGATTGTTCTTAAAATACTTTTATAATCTTAAAAATATTGTACTAATATAAATGTTTATGGTGTTGTGTAATGAAAAAGTGGGTTATGGCTTACATTTATTTCATGTTTTGTCTATGGCCTTTTTCTGTTCTAAATGGGTAGTGTGGACTCATTGACACAACTGTTTTATTTGAATATGTATTTGATCTCATGCACTTTAAAAATAAATTCATTACAGCAGACTGCAGCTTGTAGTAATAAGAGCTGAAGGTATATAGTTAAAAATTGAGCTTAATCTGTTGTGCAGTTATGGATCTAATTATATTTAGAAATGCATTTAAAAGGAGGAGTAGTCAATGAAAGTTTAAAAACTGCTTGATAAAAGATCAGATGACCTCTCAGATGTTCATATTTGTGGCGGGTTGGTTATATGAAAGAACTTTACCAGAGTGCATAAGGTACATAGAATCTCTACCTCTCCCTTTTGAAATTCTCTTCTAGGTATTACTGACTTTGTTTTTAGTTTGCTAATAATTAACTTCTATAGTTGATAACTCCCAAACACATGATGATAAACTGCATAGTAATAAAAATGCTTACTCCTTATGTACAAAGTTATTGTTAATTGAATGTGGTCCTGTACAGTCCAGGTAGACAGCATTTTTTAAAATACCAAAAAGTTTTCTCAAGAAATATTTGTCGTTTACCCTGATTTTTTTTCAAGAAGGCTATATATAGGTCACTGCATTTTTATAGAATTTCCATTTTTATGCGATGAGTAGAGTAAAGTAAATTATTGAAAATAAGTAGGGTTTGTTCTCATAAGTACCTGATTGAGAGGAGAAATGATTTTTACTAAGACTCCTTAAACTTTTTTAATACTTGTGTAACTCAAAGGCTTAACAAACATCTGAGGAAAAGCTTCTGTGCTATATATTCAACATTCCTCTTTTCAGTTAAGGATAGAGAGAGCTCCCAATCCATACCTCTTAGTCCTCCAAAAAAGGCCTCCAGGAAAAGAGGGATGACTAAACTAGACATCTTGATTTCTCTGAAGTAAAAAACAAGCAAGGGATGAGGTTTTTTTCATATATAAAGAAGCAGCAAAAAGTGGGCACAAATCCATTTCCTTCCCATAAATTATTAAGTCTTGACCCTGTTGAAGTCAATGGGAGTTTGTCGTTGACTTCAGTAGTCAGGATTTTGCCATTTAAGATTTTCATAGTTAAGAAACTTTAAGACAGAGACTGGGATGTGCAACTACCACTGGGAGTTAGAATTGCATGTATTCATTTGCTGCTTTATAGATATAATCTTGGCTATTTTGAATATTAGAGTTAAATATATTAAATCTTGAATTATAGCATTTGATAAATATTCTGCAATTATTTTTTTGGAAAATGTGTATTGGCTTGTAAGCTTCCATTTTTCCTAGAAGTATTAACTTGTTACAAGTTCTTTAATATAGAACAATATTCTAATTTTTGTAGAAAGATTTAATATTTTGGATATTTATGGCCATAAGTCAAAACAAAAAAATTCTAAATGGCATCTTTCCAAAATCCCATTTTGTCACGGAATGTCAGTTGCATACTAAATGTTCCAACATTATGAAGCATAATTCTGTCTGTATTTGGTCTATTAAAAATAATGCATTATTTGCAATTTGCACATCTAGAAGAAAGCCACAGTGTGGGTTTCTAAAATGTATGTAATAACTTCTTAGCCAACTTAAGGTATAATTCTTTTTATTCTACAAAATTACTTTTCCTTGACTTTTCTTATGTAGCAAGACACTGTTCTCATTGACCACTCACTACTTCAAAGTAGAAGATGGAGGTGAAAGATCTGTCTGTGTCACATTTGGCTTTTTTTTCTTTGTCAAAGCCATGGCAATCCTTATTGTAACTGAAAATTATCTAGAATTTGGACTTGAATCAGGTAATTTTATGACAATATTTATGAGCTCGGTTTACTTTAATATCATGTATCAATATTGTACCTTCAGATATCTTTTTTTAGAGTATCTGTTTTAAAACAAATTCTATTTGAGACATTTTTGAATCTGCATTCCCAAACATCTTTTATTAAAAGTACATCTTGTGTAATTGCCTTGCTTTACTTTAGAGTATTTTTCTGTGTAGGTTGTTTGTTTTTTGTTAACTATTTGTTTACCTTTTTTATTTTTAACCCCTTTTAACCTCACACAGTTAAGTGAGGCTCCTCTGATGCTGAAAAATTACTTATATTCTTAAAGAATTAATGTAAATTTTATTCATGTTCATAGAGTGCACAAATATCAAAGGGATGTTTTCAAAGACTGCTTCTGCTAATAACCAAGTTTTATTGCATTGTGGCATACTAATTAGCACATGAAAGAGCTAAACCAGACATATGAAAACTTATTTAAAAGATGTTCTGTTTTCTAGCATTTTCTTTCAAGAGATATTCCATGTTTGCACCATGATTTAAAAAAAATAAAATCTCTCTCTCTGCAGGGTTTTCTAATTTTTCAGAAAGTGCAGTGCAGTTTCTTGAAAAGCAAGGTTTGGAATCCCAGTAAGTTTCTGAAAAGTACACCCGTGTGCTTTATGTTAATATAATTTTTTTTACCGTACCACTTGTTTTTTGGTAGTGAGTGTTTGTCTCATGATTATTCACTTGTGTGCTTTGCTCTTGTATTGTGTTTATTAATGTGAAAGAGCTGGATCAATGAGACTAATCCAGCTCTGCTTTCAAATTACTTGACGTGTCTTGCTTGGTCTAATGCTTTAAGTTTTTTAAAAAATTCAAATAAATGTTAGGTTAAATTATTAAATACAGTTCAAAATTACAAGCATTTTTCTCCTACTACTTTTTATATAACCACTTCATCTTCATATTGCGTAAACCTTGACACACCTCTGAGGATAAGTATTGTCCTCACTGTATAGATAAGGGGCCTGAGAGGTGAAATGCTTTGCCAAAGGTTACAGATGGAGCCTGTGGCAGAGTTGAGAGTAGAAGTCAGTTTTGCTCGTGGTTCTGTGTTCAGGCTGTTATTTTATCCTGCCTCTTGTGGAAATGATCCATCTGTCTCAGGACCCCCAAGTTTTATGTGACTGACAGAGGCATGTCCTATAATCAAAGTGATGTTGCTCACATACACTATCACAATAACTATAAATAGTCCCTTTTGCAAGTAATATTTAAAATATATCTGTTTTGTTAATCTATGCTTTAAAATATTTAGAGGATTTCAGTAATACTTACCCTTTATATGAAGTGAATTGTGATGGCTGTGGGAACATGACTGAATTTCTTTTGGGTGTTAATTCTAAACTACCATATTAATATAATATATTTTTGGGAAGGGGTATCTGAGGACTCTGGGTCTTAACTAAATCAACCTTAAAAATAACCTCTACTGAACATTTTGCATTTCCTAACCTGCAATCTGTCCTCTTTGTAAATTATTCTGATCGTGCTCTGCTAACTTTTTAATTAATTTTCCAGTTAGTGCCTGTCTGTCCTCATTCCCTTTTGAACTTCACTGCAGTATCTTGACAATTTACAGGCAGTGATTGCATGGTCATGGCATCTCTTGGGAGTTGAATGGGATGGATTATGAATGCTTCTCCTGAAATTCTCTTGTATGGGTCCCTAGACTCTATTATTTGTTGCCCCCTATTAATAGTAATCTCTATTTGTATTGCATCATTTAGGTCTTTGATTCTTGCATAATCCTGAAGACAGGGGTGCAAAAAGTTCAAATACTTGATTCTAGTTTTTTGTTTAAGTCCATTATACGTTTAGAAAATAATGCATGGTTCAATAATTTAAAAAGTCATCATCTTGGGAGATAAATGAATTAGAATTATCCATTTATCTAATGGTGATAGTAACTAGAGTAACAGTAGTTTAAGATATTTGAGAGCTGCTTAGTGGGTAAAGGTTGAATGCAAGCACAATAGCATAACTTAAAACAGTGGCTAATGTACTTTAGCTTTTCTCTGTTGATCACAGGTCTATCTGTCTCTTGACATTGTTGGTTAATTATTTCTGCTAGCTGTTTTTATTCCTTGACCTTCACTAGACTTCAATATTATTGAAGGATTATTTTTTTGTGTTTTACAGTTAATGATGTGTCTTTTTTTACAGGTTATTTTCTACATAGTGCCAAATGTACAAAATATATTTCTTCCAAGATTTCTATTTTCTGCATAGAAGTTTTTTCTGGCCTTTTTTAAAATGTACTGTCTGCGTGGGCTTACTCAGTTTTTATTATAAATTGCTGAATCTATTGCTAATAATTTCTAGGCTCAGCCAGTCTTGGCATCCTAGCAAGATGGAGTTAAACTGCTTTCTTCAAAAGCTGGAATGAATGCCTTTTTGCTGTTTGCCTTTTGCGAAAGTTAATTATTGGGGAGATGGGATGAAGTGTTGAGAAAAAAAACTTTAAATTTTTTTAACCCCTCCCCCCCCCCCTTTTTTTTTTTTAGGGGTCCGGTGTCTAAACTAACCTTCAAATTGTTCCTGGCTGTTCTTTGTTCACTTATTGGTGCTTTTTTGACATTCCCTGGCTTACGACTGGCTCAAATGCATCTGGATGCTCTGAATTTAGCAACAGGAAAAATAACACAGTAAGAGAAAAAAAGTAAGTATATATATATATATATATATACACATAGATACATGCTGTTCAGTCTTTTAATATCTTTTTTATGTACAAAGAAGTAATACAATTCATTTCCAATGAGAAACTAGTGATTCACTAGGACTTCCTCCCCCATTTCCCACCTGCTTTCTCTAGTCTTGCAACAGGCCTGGCAGCTTCCTACCTACCTACTCAACCTGTACCGTCCTTCTCTAGATGACGGGAGAGCCAATAAAGGAACGTTCTTTTCTCTCCTTCTTGTATAGGAGCTTCACACTGATTGGTTCTCATTCTCCACTTTGGTCACATTTTTAGGCAGATTAGGAAATGGTGATGAAGGAGAGAGGCACAGCTGCCAGTTTCAGATGTGCACCGTTCCCTGACTGCTTGTAAGATTAGGGGCAGAATACAGAAAGAGAATAGTGTGGAGAGAAGTGGTTTCAGGAGGGCAATAAAGAAAGCAAAACAAAACCAAGCAGAAAAAACTAACCCCTAATTGTCTCTCTCTTTTAACCCTCTGACTGAAACTTGGCAACTTCATTTTATATTTGTTACACATTAAATACATTGCAATTAGGAAACTATGTAGGAAGAGCAAGTTCAAATTGCAGCAGGCATAAAGTAGCATCTTTTAAAATGCTAAAGAATAAAATGCAAGTGTCATTTTCAATAAGGTTGAATAGATAAGTGGCTATTTATTTATATAATCAAAGGTATTTAATTGGGGAGTGGGAGTTGACACCAGATTAAAGCCACATTTTCAGATCTAGCTTCTTACCTAGTTAGAGGCCCAAATTCAGAAATGTTTTTTAAATTTCCCTTCAGGGTTTTCTGAGTACCTAATCCCCACTGACAATCCTGGACTGTAATATCCTAATATTTAATTATACTTGTTCTTGGTGACGTATTATATAGAATAAAAATCTTGTTGGTGTGGCTATTTTTAATGTTTAATTTTGATAATCCTTTTAATTTTCTTTCAGCAGCACCATTTGTGTGTGGGTGGGTGTGTGGGGGTGTGTGTGTTTTCTGTCGTTACCCAGCCACCCCTTTTCCATGAGTTGTTTTGAGTGCTTTCAGCCTTTCTCACACTACTCCAATGGACAAAAATGGATTCTTGCCACCCCTTTACACATTCTAAGTCACACCATTAGGTTAGTGAACTAAATAAGCAGAAGAGAAGGTAAAAGCCTTTCACAAGCTACTGAATTGCTTTGAGCTGCTTCTTGATGTTCTAGTGTTCCCTAGCAACACTGCATCGCTAGCACTGCTTTTTTATTTCTGAACCAGTGGTTTACTCAGACTGCATGATGAGATGCTTCTGAAAATACAAATACGGATGGTTTTAAGAGTCTTAATAGCATTTTAATTGAGTGACATCTGATATTTTTAGGATACATTTTTATTCACCTGATTGTATCCCCTATAGTATTGTAGCACTTTCTTTAGATATGGGAGTATGGGCAGTCTGTCTCAGCTAATATTGCAATGGTGCAGTGACACCAACACTTAATCCTATACCCACTGAAGTCAATGGAAATATTTCCATTTACTTTAATGGGTGCACAATCAAGCCATTTTGAGGTTGTACTGATACTAGCTTTATGAGAGGAACTGAGAATGGGCTATATCTTCACAGACAATAGGTTCAATTTAAAAAAACAAAAAAAATTCATTCTTGTTTTGCATTCCCACAACTTGTTTTTTATTTTTATTTTAACCATCCAGTTTAATTTGCTGTGAATCCAATACTTTTAAAAGTAACTATTCTAGAAATGATCTACTATCTTTCTTGTAATGTTTTCTCTCTGAGTGTCTATAATTGTATGCAAGTACCAAATTTCACTTTGAGTTAGTCAAGGTTCCCAATTAAGAAAATCTATACAAAATTGGGAAATTTGTCTTGCCAGGAATGATAAATGTTTCCCTGATTTTGCGTGAATAACAAAATCTAATCTTTTCAATAGTACAAAAATATTCATATGTTACTTATCTCACTTTCCACTAATGGAATTGAATATTTTACATAATTATCAGTTTGAGATACTGAGTTCTTAGATTAAACATACATTATACCAATGTAGATATTTACAACAGCTGTCATTAACCATGTTGCTGTGTAACATGTGGTTCCTTATGGTTCATTAGAATACACTGAAATAGGAGTTTATTCAAAGTTGCGCACGTTTCACCACAGTATCTAATCATTAATTCTAATGAAATTGCATGGCTAATTCTTTTGCTGTTAAAATCCCGTAAGCATGCTGAAGAAAAGAAAAATTCCCTATTCCACCACTTTCTCACAGTTTTATTGAAAAGCTCCCACATTATTTTTAGGCTTGGAAGGATACTCGTTCATTAGCCAACCCCCAAAAATGGATAGATAAAAATAGCAAAAACTGTATGACCCTTTCATAAGCCGACCCTATATTTCAGGGGTTGGAAAACTTTGGCTCCCGGTCCATCAGGGAAAGCCGCTGGCGGGTCAGGACGTTTTATTTACTTGGAGCATCTGCAGGCATGGAGCCACTTCCTGCAGCTCCCATTGGCTGGGAACAGTGAACCGCGCGCGGCCAGAGGGAGCTGAGGGGCTCCATGCCTGCAGGTGCTCCAGGTAAACAAAATGACAATGTGTTAGATTCAATGATTCCATAGAACGGGTCGGCAACCTTTCAGAAGTGGTGTGCCATGTCTTCATTTATTTGCAGTAATTTGCCAGCCGGGGTCTCGGGCGCCGGCCCCGCTCAGCCCGCTGCCGGCCCGGGGTTCCGTCCATCCAGGCTGGCAGCGGGCTGAGCGGTGCCGGCGGCAGGGACACCAGGCTGGCAGCAGTGTGCCACAGTAAATGAGCTCGCGTGCCGCCTTTGGCATGCATGCCATAGATTGCCGACCCCTGCCATAGAATTTAAAATCATCAAATTTTGGTGTAGACCCATTTATAAGCCGACCCCCGCTCTTTGATGTGTCCCGGGGGGGGGGATAGCTCAGTGGTTTGAGCATTGGCCTGCTAAACCCAGGGTTGTGAGTTCAGTCCTTGAGGGGGCCACTTAAGGATCTGGGGCAAAAATCAGTACTTGGTCCTGCTAGTGAAGGCAGGGGGCTGGACTCGATGACCTTTCGGGGTCCCTTCCAGTTCTGTGAGATAGGTATATCTCCATATATATTTTTTTTTACCAAAAATATTCAGCTTATGAATGACATACGTACAGCTTTCTTCAGCATACATACAAACTGAAGAAAAGATGCTTTCATCAATGATTGTTTGAAGTTTACTGATAGGCAAAGTCAGAAAAGTGCTTTCTGAGTTTGAGTTTTATTTAAGGATATTTACTTGGTATATTTTTATATGTGATGTTTACAACTTTGTATTTTACAGTTATCAAGCTTTAACTTTTTGACACTCAATGTCTACTGGCATTAAATAATTATCTGACTCGCCTCAAATTCCTGCCACTGTGAAAATTTAAATCTATAAAAATTGAAAAGAATGCTTAAAATTAAACAATGATATTATCAATCAAAATATATTTAAAAAAACAAATTCTGCCAAGCCTCATTATTTTCAACAATTTGAAGGTACGGAAATCTGGATTACCAGTGTAATGATCGTATGTATTAAATATATTTTTCCTTTCCTCTTTCCTTTCAGAACATTGCTGCATATAAACTTCTTGGCACCTTTACTTATGGTCTTATTGTGGGTAAAACCAATCACCAAGGACTACATTATGAACCCACCTCTGGGCAAAGAGAGCGTGCCTTTGTAAGGTTCCTTTTTAACATTTGTTCTGAAGTCTTAGGATCAGACTCTTAACCCCCACTCTGTTCCATTTATACCATGTAAAAGGGCTGAAGTGGCGTAAAGGGGCCTTAAAATCCGTGGTTCTGACCATGGAAGGAAGCCTTGGCATAGGCCCTGCAGAGATTCCACCATATCCCTAGGAAGCTGCTATAGCATAGGCCGGGCTTGTTTTTCACTGCAGTATTTCTCAAGCTATAACTAGCATTGTCCCAACTCTGTGCACACACAGGTGTCTAGCTTGAGTTATAAGTGGTGCTTTAAGCTTGAACAAGCTGACCTATTACGGGGTATGTGTTGAAGCTCAAGTGCTGCTGACACCTGAGAGCTAATAATGTGATGGTGATGCAGCAGCTGAGTTAGCATAATTCATCAGATACTAATTCAATCATTCTAATAGAATCGCTGTGCTGCTAATCAAATCACTCTCTGTAGCTGGGGTGTTTTGCAGTGTGGTCAGTAGAGTAGCTAACTTCATTTGGAGAGGAGGTGTTCCTACACTGACAGAAAAACCCCTTCTGCAGTGTAGGCTGCATCTACACTATGGGGTTATGCTGGTATAGTCTCCGTGGTAAACATACCCTACATGTTTCCTGATTTGTATATTGGAGAGAGGCTGCAGTGTTACTTTATTTATTGTAGCTAAGTAATTAGTTTTTAATTTTTTCAAAAAAAGATCACAGTAAAAATAATAGTTTGACATTTTTTTTTACTGTTTTGTTTCTAGAAATAAAAGCTGTCTAATAGCTGTGACCACTTTGTATGCCAAAGAAAGTTGCATTGGCAGTGAACTCAATTTAATTACAATTTGAGTTTTTGTACTTTATTCTTTAGTGTTTTTTTGTTTTTTTTAATTAGAAATAAATTGCAGTGACTTGGCATTTAACCTGGCTAGAGGGCCAAAGATATAATTAGGCTGTACTTCAGTTAATATTTTACGGCTGTATAGTGAAGATTCCAAATCTTAAAGCATTTCATAGAATATCATAGAATATCAGAGTTGGAAGGGACCTCAAGAGGTCATCTAGTCCAACCCCCTGCTCAAAGCAGGACCAATTCCCAACTAAATCATCCCAGCCAGGGCTTTGTCAAGCCAGGT